GAGCACCCCAGCAGCTCGCCCTAGGCCTCCGAGGCAGCCCAGGCTGGGGGAAGCCACGCTGGCAGTGCGCCATGCCAGCCCCTTCCCAGCCTGAAGGCGCACCAGCATGGAGTGTCAATGAAAGACAAGGGTGCTCCTCAGTGAGTAACTTCACCGAAAGCCCCAGCAAGCAATTTGCACTGCTGCTTAGGATTCCTTCATCACGTGTCTACAGTGCTCCGCATTCTACTTCTTGAGCTTCCCTCCTAAAATCTCTCTCTACCCCCTTGGGAAACAAATTTAAAGAAAACATTTCTGAGTTTCTGAAACAAAGTCTGATTAAAGATGCCTGTGCATTACTGCTGAGATGGGACAGCCTACAGTCAAGGTCACCCAGCAACATCCATTACAAGATCCTGGTTTCAGGAGTTTGAGAGTTGTTGGATTGACTGCCCAGGCTGAAAGTTTCCATAATGGATGCCTGTCTCAGGGTAAAAAAGTTAAAACTGGGCAAAGGAAACACTTATTGTTCCCTTGAGGCAAGCTAAATAATAGATCCTACCTTGTTTTGCCCATCTTCTGAAATTCTTACACAGCTTCAGCACTTCACACACTGCAGAGTTCACAGATTATAAATTTGGAGAGCAAGAAATAGGATTGCTCAATAGCAGGGATTTTTCTCTTCCAGTGCCTGTGTAAATCTACGAATATCTGGCCAAGCTATGTACCCTTAAAAAAGCTTGTACATGTTCAGCAGCAGAGACTTACACCCAAATTCCCCAAGGTTGCATCAGGAACAGATGGGTTTATCTCCTCTTTGTTTTCTACAAGCCAAGAATTTCTCCACCAAATAAGCAAGCAAGCAAGCATACTCCAGTTATGGTAGGTAAGGCTGATCAGGAATTGTTCCTGTTACTCAAACCAAGAGCAAGATGCTGTTTGTCCAGTGCTCCAAAATTTCTGCAGTTTGTGCCCAGACAGGAAAGCAAGTTAAAGCCAAACAATGAGGGCTGAAGGCCAATGGGGCAGATCAGCAAAAGACAATGGCAGTCAAGGATAGGTTTGTGAAACCATACAAATAAATAGTAACAGTAAAAAAATCAGCCTGTGCCAAGTGGCTAGAGACTGAGTTATCTGTGACTAATTGGGTATTTGTTCAGCTATAGAACAGCAATCTAACACCAAATCCCGCAACCCTGCAGCAAAGCCAGGAAATTACAAATCTTGTCTCATTTGCACATACCACAAAGCTAGCAAATAATAACAGGAAGCAAGGCGAAAAACTGAAACACATGTTGTATTCCTTTTCTTTGCCTTCTTGCCAGAGACATCCAAAAGCAGCACAGTTATTGAAATCACAATCCCTGTAGCAGACTTACTGTTTGGGTTTGCAACTCCAGAAACAATGTCTTTGCTGTCGGGAGCAAGGGCGCCATAATTCGCGTGGTGGTGGTGATGACGGTGGTGATGGTGGTGCCTTGCAGGCATTTTGGTGGTATATGGTGTTCCACCGTTCTCCTCAACGTTGAAGTGATGCAGATCACTGTTGTTCAAGGGATAGCTACAAAATAAATTCAGTTCAAATTAGAGCAGTAAACAGCAGGACAAATTGTACTTTTGGAGGGATAGAATGCAAACACTCTTGGGAAAAAAAATGCATAGCTTTTTTGTAAATAGAATTTTTAACGTGGTATATCCCAAATCTTTACAGTGTTCTGTCAACAGGACAGAGGTGCAGGACAAAGCTGAGAACAAAAGATGTCTCTGCTTGTTTGACATGACATTAATATCAGAGTTATTTTTGATTTTACACACTATACAGTTTCTCCTAGACTATTATGCTGAGTAAAATTCTGATGTATGGAATATGATCCTCAAAAAGTCAAAATTTGCTCTGCAGGAATTTGCACCTTTACCTGGGACAGGAAAGTGATCAGTCAGCAAACAGTAACTCCTCCTAAGTGAATGTGTCAGAAGAACAGACCAAGGAACAGTCCCAAAATAACATTACATTTCTGAGAAAGTTTGAGCCTCCAAATAATGGTGCAAAATAGCTGCATAAAAAAATTGTGACTTGAGACAAAAATGGAGAAAGATCCCAAAGGAAATAAAAGGTTTTATAGGTAACAACATACAAAATAGCATTTGTTCAAAAAGATTTCATACCTGTGCTGTTAAACTAACCAGAAGTTTTTCTGAGTATGTTTAGTAGGGAGACTAACTGTTGCCAGTTTACAATATATGAAAAAATGAAGACACACTCTAACTCGCAGGGTGTCAAATGACATTGTTGATTTTCTTCAATAGTTTTAACTGATGCTGTTTCAGTTTATTGTCTGAAATGACGATGAATTTCTAGAAATTGTGTTTTCTCTCCATGCCAGCAACTAAAAAAGACTGAGATAACTTTACATAGTTACTGCAAATGCCTCAAATGTGCTTTCCTCAGTGGAGCGCTTAAAATTTTTATAAGGTTTTAACTTATTCTATGGTATTGCATTAGACAATAGCTGCAGTAGATCAATTCATTGCCAGAAAAGATGAATCTCCTGCTCATTTGAAAAATGCTAAAGAAATTTTATCTTCAGCTGCATGAGTTTTTGGTTTGCTTTTATTACCAACAGCAGTTGAAAACTTGACAATATGGAATAAAGACATACAGAATAATTAAAGGAACAATGAATAAATCATACCTAGCTACTCGCTACATATGTTCTCTGAAGAGTACTTACTGATTCAAAGCAAAATTAACCAGTCATCTGCAAATAAACACATCTGTATAATTTCCAAACATACGCCAAAGCATGCAACTCAGTACATCATTAATAACCGCTGTGTTCTTAGTAATAGCTTCTGACAACATGAAGCTTCTGTCTGGGTAGTAACTGAATAACACTTCTAACGCTGGTTACTTTTTGAAAGTAGGAGGCGGAGAGAGGAATGTTAGTGTATATTAATCTTGACAGTTTCCCGGCATGTAGCGATGACTGCCAATAAAGGCACTTCTGATGCCTTATTTGCCTTACGGAAACAATACAAATAGGAGTCTGATTCACAGGGGACTGCTTTGGTGAGCTCAGATAATCCAGGACTGGTTTGTCTTCTGAAACTGCACTAGATCTTCACTGTTGTAATCAAATCAAGAACGTGCCTGCTGGGGGAAAAATGGTACGTGCTAATGAGACTGCATGCTAATTGTAACAGCTATTCTGCTCTCCCCCTTCAAGTGCCAGGGATTGAAATGACGTTTTTTGACCAAGAAGATAGATGGGTTTTGTTCACAGAGCTAAAATATTTATTGGAAATAAGATTAGTTTTGGGCTGGAACTTCAGCATATCCTTTTTTTTTTTCCAGTCAATGAATCAATTTTTTTTCAAGACACAAAATCCCATGTGCTTGGGAGTTGCTTTCTTTTCACCCACTGGTAGGCTGATTTAGCAGATTTTTACTGGTCTTTTCGAAATGAATGAGATCACACTAAATATTTACATTAGCTTCTCATATTGCTGTGGGCATGAGGTAGCTTCTGTGCTAAAATGGGAATGAGATGAGCATTTGAATAGGCCCAAATGCCTCTGGCATGAGGTCAAACGTGCACTGAATTCTCCAGATGTATTCCTTGACTGTCTAGAGAAGAGTGTTCATGCCATGTAAAATTCAAGAAGACCGTTCCTTCAGAGAAGTAAATCGCTAGCCCAACAAAGTTGATGTTCGTATATGCACTGAAATCCTTGTCGACACTAAGTCACAAAGCTCCAGTCAGGATGCCAACACCCAGGGCGCCCACTCTGATGTGAAACGCCGTGTAAGAACGGCTGGCCCATTTAAAAGGACATGGTCCTCTGCACTTTTCCAGGGTGATAGCAACTAATACAAACTGAGGCAAACTCATCTCAGTGGTCAGTCAACTCTTGCACTTCTGATGGATGTGGGGTTGGGCTGAGGAAGACTTTTGTACCCACTAGACTGATGAGTTACTGAACAATCATAAATAGGGCTTGCAGCAGCCCCAGAACCTGTCTACTAGAACACATGACAGTACCCCCCAAAAAATATCATAAGTAATCCAAATCCCTTTTCTGTGTACTCTCTACTATATAATTTAGGGGCACATTAGACAGTGCAGTTTCTACAAGGTAACATCATTATTATCATATATAACATCTGCTTTTCACTTATTTTTCTGCTCTTCCACTGTCTTAGATTTAGAGACTTGAGACTTTTCCCATCAATACATCTTTTTGCCATTATTTTTTCTTTCTATCACTTGCTTCTATCTGGTTTACCTGAATAGCTAATATGTTCATGCATCCTTCCCAACTCATTGATACAAATAAATCTCTTTCAATGAATAGATTTTCTGACCATATCCTAATCTAGGCTTTCATACTTATTCCCCAGACACCGAGCAATGCTTTCAGACTACCTGCATACATGGAGAAGTATAAGTTTTCATCTTGTCTCTTGTATTTTTCTTTTAGCTTCCTAGTATGTCAACATTATACCTTTGTATTACCTTTTAATAGCCAATTGGCTGTCCCACAGGTTTCCTCTTTTTCCTCTGTTATTCACCCGAGCAGTTTTCTCAACAAGCTCTAACTGCTTCCTACACAATCAACTCTCATCCTTCAAGGAAAATGAGGCAGGGCTTTCCTACAGGCCATTATGTAAAGGAAGAAAACATTTCTTCCTTTTCTGTCCCTCCCTGAGGCAAAGCACTCACGAGGATTCAGTTATGGGAGGGTGAACCTTGAAAAAAGCCACTCAGAGTTCACAAGACACTTAGTTCTGCCTTTAGCCTCAAACTCACATAATTGCTTTCTTCTGACCAGAAATGCAGCATGCTGAGGAACAGGGCAATTAGCAGGTATCTTCCGATTACTTCTTCCATTTTTAAAACTTTGTTTACATTGCCCTTTGTCCCAATTTTATACTCCTCACCCTTTGCTTTAAAAGTTATTTTCAGCTGACATTTTTGTTTCACGTGCTCCAGCCATCTACTACTTTACCAAACCGTGCCTCTAGTACACAACTCACACATACAACAGTATTAAGAGATCATAGAAAAATGGGATATTTGAAAGACTGAATTACCCACAGTTCCCCTCAAAATCAAACTAAGCAGGTCTGTGTTACCTCTCCTGATTGGCTGAACTGTATCTTCAACACCTTCACTAGCAGAGACTCCACGACTTCCCCGTGCAACTGATTTCAGTGTCTCGCTATGCCTACATTTAAATTTCATTTATCTTTTCTCAGTACAATTTTCTCTCCCATCCATCACAGACACAGTGAATAGGTTATTTCTTGCTACAGAAACTTGTGTTTTTGAAAATGTCTCTTTACATGTCCCTTTCGCAGTCTAAAGAGCTCTGAATTGTTCAGTTGTCCCTCACCGGTCATGAATTTCCTACAGCTCTGATGGGTCTCGCCATACTTATCTGCCCAGCTGCCCCCTGCTCTGCCTCCTATGCATGGTGCTCGGAAATGAGCACCCCATTCCAGCTGAGGCCAGGAAAATGCATTGCAAAGAGGAAGGGTTGCTTCCCATGTCCTATCGGATCTACTCCCTTCTGTACAACGGGACATGACACTTGCTTTTTCCTAAATAGCCTGGGGTTACTGACTCACGCTCAACTTCTGATCCTCAAGAATACCCCATCCCTTCCTAAACTGGCCAGGTTTCCAGCCCCGACAACCTCAGCTGTGAGGCAGGTTACTCCCATGTGAAAGCACAAACATATTCCCATTCCTCCTGAGCTGCATCCTAAACTTTCTCACATGCTAGGACCATAACCTGTTCAGGACTTCTTTCTCATGACAGGCCTGCTGTGAGAGGACTTCCTAGCTGGGTGTAACCTGTTAGTGAAAAGAGATTTTTTGAACAATTAATCACCTTTCCATGCCACTGTCCCAGCTGCCATCCTGCATAAACATTTTTCACCTGTGCCCCAGAGCAGGCTCACTCCTGCATCTTGTCCGTGTCCCCTTCTTCCACGCTTTTAGGCTTCTCCCATCTGCCTGAAGTCACATTTCAAGAGGAAACAGTCGCGTTCTCTTCTCTCCCCCTCTTGGGGAGGCAGGTGGGGCAACAGCAGAAAGCAGGCTCAGACTGTTGTGCCTCTTGAACGACTCTGCATTGAGTTCAGCCCCTCCTTGCTATAGCTGAACAGTGCTTTTAAAAAAAAAACATGTAGACTTCTAGGTCTGGTCATGATAAATAACCTTCAACAATCACGACACCCACCTCTATTCTTTGCTTTGAACACTGCTTCTGCACCAAATCACTGCAATTTTCTAATACAAATCCTCAAAGTTTACACAGACATCTTCACAGCCCCTTGCAATCCCTCCCCATCTGCAGCCTGGAGCAAGCCTGACGATGACCTGTGCATCTTCCGGCAGCTCAAACCTCCAGTGCAGGCTCTTGTGCTGAATGTGTTGGGAGGCTCCTCCAACCACTTTGCTCCCCGATAGGAGACATTTCATCCATCTCAGTATTGTAATAATACCTTCTCCAATATTGAAATGGGCTTCAGATGTGCTCCCAAAAAGCAGTCAGTGGACCTGTTACAGAGTATGTTAACGTGTATGTGTATTAACACATATGCATGGAAGTGAGACTCTCAGAAGCCTAATGAAAGCAACCATTGGGTGTGAAGCTTCAGCATGGCAGCTGAGGGGATGAGACTTAACAGCTATGTTAAGCCAAATATTAATTTTTCAGGCTTACTCTCTCCCTTTGAGAAAACAAAACAAAAAACGCTGGGTTTATTCCCTGTCTATGCTTCAAAAGAAGTTTAAAAAGCCCTGAACAAACCCAACTGAATTTCTAGAGAAACTTGCTATACTCATGTTTAGAATCTCACATACCTCTTGTGTTGCTAGAGCATGTAACAAGGCAGAGAAAGAGTAGAAATTCTGCATACTTTGGAAATTTCCCTGTGGAGAGGAATGAAGAGGAGATGGGGGACAGGAAGAAGATGGTGGTCTGTGTGAGTATCAATTCATGATCAGAATCATTGGATTGAAACAAAAGACTTTGAGAGAACTGACCATTAGACAAGAAGGAAACACAGACCATGGTAGGAGGACTCCTTATAAAAGAGATATGACCAAGTTTCATTTTGGCACCCAAGGACTGGGATACATAAAAACAATGAGTGTTCCTAAGTAAAGAGGGATTGGGATCACTAAAATCAGCCTGTGGGTTTTTTTGGTGTTGTTGTTTTTGTTTTTTTTCCTGCACTATGTTAACAAGATGTCTTTGCTGGCCAGAACTGGCTTCCTAAACTGGGAAAGGTATAACCAAAGGTGACAAGCACTGCTACGCTTCCACGCTCTGCCCTGACACCACCAGCTGACAGGAGAGCTGGCCCATTTGCTTCCTGGTGAGGGGTCTAGAGAACAAGTGTTATGAGAAGCAGCTGAGGGAACTGGGATTGTTTAGTCTGGAGAAGAGGAGGCTGAGAGGAGACCTTATTGCTCTCTACAACTACCTGAAAGGAGGTTGGAGGGAGGTGGGTCTCTTCTCCCAGGGTAATAATGATAGACAAGAGGAAATGACCTCAAGTTGCACTGGGGGTGTGTGTGTGTTAGATTAGATATTAGGAAAAATTCCTTTACTGAAAGAGTGGTGAAGCATTGGAACAGGCTGCTGAGGGAAGTGGGGGAGTCAACAGCCTTGGAAATGTTCCAAAAACATAAAAATGTGGCACTTCAAGACATGGTTTAGTGGTCATGGTAGTGTCGGGTTGACAGTTGGACTAGATGATCTTAGAGATTTTTTACAACCTTAATGATTCTTTAGGGAAGGCCTGGGAAGATGCGTTGCAGGTTTCTCTCCCTCTTGCCAAGAACAATCAGCAGCCCCCTCTGTTCCTAGGGACTCCTCAGAAGGCAGAGCAGGCAGCCAGCAGCCTTCTCCCAGACTGACAAATTGACCTTGGAAAGAAAGAGAAAATGGCAATGGGGAAATACATGTTCAGAAATGGTGATGGGAGTGGGAAGAATTTCTCCTGTAGGAGATAAAAGCATGTGCAGCAGCTTCCTGCTTTACAAGATGCTGAATTAAGCTTTGAAGCAGGAGTAATCTGGAATTCTCCAAAGGAAGAACAGCCTGCAGCAAAGCATGTTCTAATAAAATACCAAGAAACGAAGCCATTGTCCTCACAGATTTCACCTTATCTACATAAAGATCATTAAAAAAATACTGCCTTGCAAAACTGTCATGCAAAATATGCCTGCTGGGGGACTAAACTCACTTTTCTTCATTTACAAATGGTTTTAATTAATGATAACGATAGCTAATGATATTTAATCACCTGCCAAAAAAAATTCATTGTCTCAGATGTCCTTGCAGATGAGAAAAACTTTGAAAAGCAGACATAGAATTTTCTAAGCCAGATGAAATCCTCCCCCAAGTCAGTGCTGCCTTCCCCTTTCAGTTAGAGGCAGACAACTTATGCCTGTCCTTGAGAAATAGAGCAGCTTGGGGCGGGGGGGCTAACCCAAGTAAGCTAACTCAGGTTAAAATAGGAGCAAAACTAGGAGACTATCTTAAGTCTCTAAGACCAGGTTGCTAGCCTCCTACAGCCTTTTCCACCACTTAAACCATTCAACACCTCAGGTCCTGTGAGTTAAGTACATACCTGTCTCTCCCCTGCCTCCATACCTGCCAAAGCATGAAGACGGAGAAGCAGGCACAGCTCTGAGCCTTAGCTAGCAAGAAGAAGTTGCTGGACACAAGAGATGAAGCGTAAGCAGCTAACAAATGTTCTCTGAAGGACTGCTGGATTCCACAGGCAGTTATGGGAGAGCTCCATGAGAAACAGCCAAGCTTCACACATCACTTCTTGGTGAGAACAACCTTGCAAGGCCAGCACTGCCTACAAAACCCTGTCAGTAATAGTACCCAAGATCCAAGCTACCGAGCTAGAGAAATTTGAGTATGCACTTAGCAAAACTGGGAGCAACGTGTGGGGAAAAAAACAAAGGTAACTGGCAGGAGACAAGGGAAGGGAACAGGAGAATCCATGTGTATCAGAGAAGAACAAGCAAGGGAAAATCGAGAGAGAGGCAGAAGGGACCACCCACATGTAAGCAAGCTGCTGGTCAGGATCATTGGCTGATCAAGCTAGGACCACTGTAGTCTAGGCTGTTTTCTTAACTGTAGTCTTATTTTCTGTGGGCATGTATGCACACGGGATTGAACTCTCTGTGCTGCCTCATGCTTGTGTGCTGCTGTTTGTGTCTGCAGGTGCTGGTAAAGGCACCGCCCCACACCTCTGTTGTTCTGCACAGCTGGCTGAACACGTGCTCGATGTGTATTTACATCTCTGGAATAAACGCTTTGCATTTCTACAGCCTGGCCTTGGAAACCTGGTACTAGAGCAGCCTCACATCTAGCAGATCAGGAAGGTGAAATCACTTTAGCCTTAAAGACAGTCCACAGGATTTTGGCTTCCCTTAACAATATGCTCCCATCTGACAAACTCTCCTTCCTGTCTCTGACCCCAAAAAGCTGAAGTTCCTTGAAACAAACACCCTCCACATTTTAAAAGAAATTAATCCAACTGTAGAATTTTCATGCTTCTAAATTATTCAGATTCTAAATACTGCTAATACCCTACAGAGAATTATGCAATCTTCTGAATTTTCAGTTATTTGCCATAACTTTGAAGTCCAGCGTGAACATATCTGACACCATTGCCACACACGACTTGAGTTTAGGTTACAGATTTTTGCCCTTTTAACACATTACCTGTAAAGCCACTAAACAGGTATGGTGTACAGCAAGCGAAAACTCTTATCAAGGCAGGACAGATTTTTCACTTAGCTGTATTACGAGTCTCTATAGCAGATTTCACTGCTTTTCCTTTTTCAGTTCCTCTCACTGCATATTCCACTGTAAAACTCTGCTTCTCCTAAACCTTCTACTTGAGCTTTTAGTTTTCCCGGCCCATTTTTTTTCACCCAAGCTCTTCCTGACTTTCTGCCTGACTCTTACACTCCTACTGATGAGAAACACTTGGCTTGGGGACATCACGATGCTGGCCTTGTTAAATGCCATTAAGGCCTCAAAATTCAGGGGCTTAGCCCTGGAGACGAAAAGAAACTCAGATACTTTGTGTTATCTGTTTAGCTACTGAGTTCATTTCCATGTCATGACACAATCTAGAGAGCACGGCAGATGTACTAATGTTTTGTATTTCTACTTCTTCAAGGTTCTCAAAATGGCTGAAACTGGTAATGGCAGGTAAACCATTGTGATTAGAATTCCACCACAGACTGTTATGGATTTAGTGAGCAAAAATAATTCAGAATTTGCTTACCTCAACTTTAATCGTATTAGATCAGTACCTTCCTATTACTGTGGCTATTTATTTCATTTTCTCCAGGGCACAGAAAGTAAAAGATGTTCTTCATTGCCTCACTTTAAAAAGAAACCCAAAAAATGGGTTTTATAATGTAGCAACATATGACATTGTTAAGCCGGGAACTACAAGTTTTCCAAACTGTTCCTGTATGAAATATTTGTTCTTGCTTAATCCAATACATCTTCATCTGTGATAACATGTAGGTTTTGCTGTTTGATAGTTTAAAGCTGAAGGTCATACTACTAGCATTATGAAAAGGAAAATGAAAAAAAACAATCAAGCACATTACAAACTTAAAAGATGGAAAGTACGAAAACCCCACAAAAGCACAAACATAACTGTGGTGGCAATTTGACAACAGTAACCTAGAGGCATTTCCGTTGGTTCCTCAATAGCCTTAGCTCAACATTTATCTTATTTGTAAATTGGCAGATTCCTTAGTTCTCAGAGGGTGGGATGACTAAGGCAGTCATCATGAATGCTTCTTCTGCTAGAGAGAAAACGAACTAGATTTCGAAAGACACATGCAACAGATCATGGACGATAAGATGCCACCAAACCAAGAGGGGCAATCCCATAGAGTCAAGAGAAAGCCATTATTCCAGAAACAAAAAACAAAGAGGTAGCACCGGGGCTAAGATATCAGGCTGGTGGAACTTCCCATCCCACCATCTCCATGTGTCAAGTCTACCAAAACTCTATCTGAAAACAAACAAACAAAGCAAACCCAAACCCCACCATCTTTCAGAAAGCTAGAAGGGAGATACAGTGTTTTTTTTTAAAAAATCACACCTTTTCCTTCTCTTCAAATTTGAAGGTATATTACATTAGAAATTAAAAGCAATATTCAAGTTATGACAGATATGCTTGCATTTTCTCTAGCAACCTACTAATACATATAGTGGACAGTGTACAGAGAGGCTTGACTCATGAATTTTACAACTAAATTCAGATTAACACTCATAAAATCAACTGTTTGAAAATAAGCTGGTTTACTTTAAGGGACCGTCATGAAACAGTCATTAGTAAGTAGACGAGAGCAGCATTTAGTTTCGAGAAGGTTTATTACTGGAAGTGATTCATATCAAGGGAGAAACTCCAGCTGAATTAAGTTTTTATCTTTTTTTTTTTTTTTTTGGTAACACAGCAGAAATAAGAGCAACAGCACACTCAGAAATGAAGCCTGTTTGGTCAGTAACTCCAAGGCACAACAGCACATTGAAAACAAGGCAAGCCAAACAAGGTCTTCATCATTACCACATATGGCTGTGTGCTCCATTCCTTTTGTGTGTTTTTTTTCTCACCCATTGACTAATACTTGCTTTGTCCAAAAGCTACATTTTTTCACATGTCTGCTGCCTTCTGAGAAAGGAGGACTGATTTTCCTGCAGGCCCTTTGACACTAAAACTTCAGAGCTGACACTAAAACTTCCGAGCACGTATAAAAGCACTGTGTTTTTCCATGCAGTTGCACTTTGACTGTAAAGTAGGAGAACGTATTCTGAAATAGTTAAAAATCTCAATCCTCACCCTGTAGCACAAGTTTGGTTAGGGTGCAGAGGCATGACCAGCAGAGTGCTAGTTCAAGATGACTCTCAGAGAAGATTCATGGCTACCATAGTCTTAACAAAAGCAGCTAAGGTCTTGGTGGATCAGGCTCTTTTCAAGGTACCATACACAGTCTAAGATCAATTAAAAAAAAAAATTCATTTCCTATTTTTTGTCCATCAGTGCCAGCTGGTCTATAGCAGCTGTCTCGAACAGTCTCTTTGGCTACCATTAGCAATGCTGCAATGACAGCATTCCCCTCTAAGTCTGCTTTCCTTGGTCCTCCTTTGCAGAGTAAAAGGAAAACTACTCAGCACCAACAGCATTTACAGAGATCTGGTGTGTCAGGTTAGATGGATGTGTGTGAAAACTTCTCTCCTTTGAGCTAGGTAGTAGTAGCCTGCCTGCTTGATACACAAACTGGAGCGACTTGTGGAAAACCTCCTCTGAAAACATATGACTGCAGCACTGAACTGTCGTCTTCCTTCCCCTCAGAGGGCTCCATCTAGCCAACTTTGATGTCTGAGAAGCAAGTGATATACTCAATTTCATCTTTTCCTGTCTTAGACGCTCCCCAGCTCCTTTTTTGCCAGCAGTTGAATTCCATTTTCAAAATTAATTGCAAACTCTAACACTCTTCCTCTTACAGGCTGAAGAGACGTCTTCTTCAACATTCATCCAGAAGGAAAGAAAAATGACATCTTACATCACAAGGCCATAACATATGCTTTGTTCCCATCCACCATGTGAAAAAGTAATCCTCTTTTTGGTCAATTTGCATGCGGGTTCACTGACAAAAGGGTCTGCAAGGACTTGTTGATTCTCTTCCTTAAATGTGTAAATCCTGGACTGCCACCTTTAGAAACACATTACAAAACCTGATCCCTGTGTTCATTTTGCCTATGATTCACATCAGCTAAACAGCTGGAAAAGAAAGTTTAATGAAAAAGCCCACACTGAAAAAATTTAGTGGACTCCAGTGTAATTTCTCAGATGCTGAGCACTGTACTCACACACACTGCCCCCCCCGTCCCCCAGAAGCTGATGCGAGGATGGTGTTTGTCACTTGCAATCAGATTACAGAAGAGTTT